TCAGCCAACGCCTCATTGAACGGCAGAGCAGACTTGATGGGCTGAGTTTCCTACTTCTGCTCCTATGTTTTGTGGTGCTATGATACCAAAAACAGAGAATGCCAGAGAAACTCAGCAGGTCTGGCAGCATCAAAAACAGAGTGACCATTGTGGGTCAGGTCTGACATGACTATTCTTCGAAACGGACAAGAGACGTGGGAAAGTGATCAGTTTCGTCCCATTGACAACGGCAGGGGGTGGAGGAGAAGGCTACACACACAAGAGAGAGTCAGGATAACATCCAAAGACAAATCATTTTGGACTTGAAATATTAACTCCATCTCGCTATCCTTGCTGCGTTTGTCCAAACACTTTCTGCTTATGTTTAAGGTCGGGGAAGCTTGGAGAGAGAGAGGGAGTTTGAAGGTCAAAGAAGTGGCATTTGACCCAGAGAAGAGAAAATAACTCCAATGCTGGTGTAGAGATCAGCTATCGTCACTTCACGCCATTGATACATTCACTGAACCCAAATTGATGAGCATTTCAGCCGGCAATCTGTCATAAGCCAGATGTGATGTCACTGAAAAGCAGGGTTTCTGGCGATCATGCTCAGCATTTTTTTCAGGTCAAAACAGAGAGGATTGAAAGAGATTTTAAGCTGACAGCGCTTTGTGGAGGATCAGTGCTTGATGAAGAACCTGGTCCAGAAATGGGGGCGAGTGTCATTTTGAAAGAAGTGTCAAGAAATTTAAAATTCACGTCTGTAGTCGAAGGAGACCTGGAGGGCCTACAGTATTTTAAACAGACAAAAGCAGAATGTCTTTCCAGTCTTTTCTTCACACTTACCGCAGACAATGTTTTTAAGGATTGAATGGGCTTAAAACTGGGAAACCTTTGTTTTGCATCGGAGGCAGTTCAGAGGAGGTTCACTCCACTGATTCGAGAGATGAACGGCGTTTGTCTTAAGCAGAGAGATTGAGCAGGTTAGGCCCATCCTCTCTGGGAGTTTAGAAGAACAAGAGAAGATCTAATTAGAAGATGCTAAAGCGGACTGATAAAGTAGATGTAGAGAGGATGTTTCCTCACATGGGGTGAGGAAACCTCTAGTGAAAATGATCCAAGTGGAACGAGAGGTTGTCGTTTGAGAGTAAAGGGTGGTAGATTTAAAGCAGAGTTGAGGAGGAAATTATTTCTCTCAAAGGGTCGTGAATCTGTGGAGTTCATTTCCCCCAGTGCGGTGGATGCTGTAACACTGAGAAATTGAGGACAGGACTTGTATTCTTAATGGGGAGATTTGCTGAACAACGAGACCTTGGAGTGCAGGTACATAGTTCCTGGAATTTGGAGTCACAGATAGAGTAGTCAAGAAGGCGTTTGGTACGCTTGCCTTTATTGGTCATTGCATTGAGTATGGAAGTTGGGAGGTCATATTGCAGCTGTACAGGACACTGGTGAGGCCACTTTCGGAATATTGCGTTCATTTCTGGTCCCCTTGCTATAGGAAGGACATTGTGAAACTTGAAAGGTTGCAAGAAAGATTTACAAGCATGTTACCAGGGTTGGAGGGTTTGAGCCATCGTGAGAGGCTGAATAGGTTGGGAGTGTTTTCCCTGGAGTGTCAGAGGCTGAGGGATGACCTTATAGAGGATTGTAAAATCATGAGGGGCAGGGGTAGAGTGAATAGCCAAGACCTTTTTATCCCCAGAGTAGGGGAGTCCAAAACTAGAAGGCATAGGTTTAAGGTGAGAGGGGAAAGATTGAAAAGTGATAACAGGGGCAACTTTTTCACGCAGAGGGTGGTGCATGTATGGAATGAGCTGCCAGAGGAAGTGGTAGAAGCTGGTATAATTACTCCATTTAAAAGGCATCGGGATGGGTGCATGAATAGGAAGGGTTTAGAGGGATAGGGGCCAAATGCTCGCAAATTGGGACTCGATTAATTTAGGATATCTGGGCGGGGTGGACGAGTTGGACTGAAAGATCACTTTCCGTGCTGTATATCTCTATGAATCTGTATTTAAGGAGGCGATAAGATTTTAAATCAGTAATAGGCTCAAGGGAACGGGCGGGAAAGTGGAGTGGAGGCCGAGATGAGATCAGCGATGATGGTATTGAACGGTGGAGTAGGCTCAAGAGGCTGAGTGGCCTACTCCTGCTCCTCGTTTTTCCGAGCATCATGGCCAACAAGAACAAACAAAGTAAGCCTTTGAGTAAGACTTTAGTGAAGGTTTGATATTTGTCATAAATCCACAGTTACGTAGGAATACAGAAACTGGAGTAGGCCCTTTGGGGCTGCTCTGTCACTCAGTAAGATCGTGCCTGTTCTGTGCATTCCATGTCCCCACCTACCTTTCGACCCCTTCCCTCATAGGAATCAATCGCTCTTTGTCTTAAAAATGTCCACTTTCTAAGGGAGAGAGTTCCAAAGGATAGGATTGCACTGGAAGTGGGTGCGGAGGAGATTCACCAGGATATTGCCCGGGATGGACCAGGTTAGAGGCTGGATAAGCTCGGGCTGTTTTCTTTGAAGAGAAGGCTGAGGCGGGCATTGACAGAGGTGTATAAGATTATGAGGGACATGGACAGGGTGGATAGAAGGCAGTGGTTCCCCTTCGTCGAAGGGTCAGCAACAAGGGGGAAGGGGGACATTATTTTAAGATGAAAGATTTAGAGGGGATTTGAGGATAATCTTTCTCATCCAGAGGAATTAGAAGGTTAGGTGAGGCAAGAAATCTCACAATCTTTAAAATGTACTTGGATGAGCACTTGGAATGGCCTAACATTCATGGCTTTGGGCCTAGTGCGGGAAAGTGGGACCAGTGTCGCTTTAGAGCAGTTTCTAGTCAGTGCAGATTCGATGGGCTGAAGGGCCTCATTTGAACCGTGTGATCAATGATTCTATGGTCGACAAATAGAATCACAAAGCAGAGTCTTTAAGAATATTGAAACTTGGTTAAATCACACAGAGGAATTCTGAAGTATTCTGGTCTCCACATTTAAGAAAGAGGAGATGCAAAGAAAGAGAAAAAAAATGCCTCAGGAGAACTTCAGAATGAGAAGCTTTTTTAACTCCACATGTGATGTGGGCATCATTGGCTGGGTCAGCATTTATGCTCCCTCTAAGAATCACCTTTGAACTGAGTGGCTTGCTCAGCCATTTAAGAGAGTTGTTGCGATAGGTTTGGAGTCGTATGTCGGCCAAGACTGGGTGATGTCGATCCCAACTTTTCCACTAAATTATTTACCAGTCTTTTCCTCAGTATCCCAGCCAGTCAGGAGGTTATGTTGGAGCTGTACAGGACTTTGGTTAGACCACAGCTGGAGGAATGTTCTGGTCCCCGCTGTGGATGGGATTGCACTGGAAGTCGGGGGGACATGCAGAGGAGAGTCACCAGGATGTTGCCCGGGATGGAGCAGGTTAGAGGCTGGATAAGCTCGGGCTGCTTTCTTTGGAGCAGAGAAGGCTGAGGGGGAAACCTAATAGAAGTGTATAAGATTATGAGGGACAATGGACAGAGGGGATAGAAAGCAGCTGATCCCCGTGGCATTAGGATCAATAAGAATGGGATATACTGTTAAAGTTAAAGGCAAGAGGTGTGCAGGAGGGATGTGGATTTGAGGAAAAATATTTTCACCCACAGGATGTTGGGAATCTGGAATGCATTGCCTGGGAGAGGATTCGAGGTGGGAAACTGCACAACCTTTAAAAAGAACTTACATGGGCACATGAAATGTCATAACATTCAAGTTTGGAGTGGGACTAATGTGGATATCTTAGCAAAGAATGGATGAGCCAAATGACTGTGTACAGAATTGTACGTCGTATTCAAGATGTGGTCTCATCAATACCCTGCGTAACTGAAGTGTCACCTCCCCTCATTAATGTTCAATTTGTAATAAAGGATAGCATTCCCTTTGCGTTCTGCACTACTTGCTGTATCTGCACACTAATTTTTTGTGATTCACACACTCGAACACACAGATCCAACAAAACCCCGGAATTTTACAGTCCTCTGTTTAATAGTTCCTTGGAGGTGGAGTTGTGATGGATAGTGAAGGTGGCGTTTGGTACGCTCGCCTGCATTGGTCGGTGCATTGCGTATAGGAGTTGGGAGGTCATGTTTTGGCTGTACAGGACATTGTGAGGCCATTTTGGAACACTGCGTTCAATTCTGGTCTCCCTGCCGTAAGAAGGACATTGTGAAACATAAAAGGGTTCAAAAAAGATTTACAAGGATGTTGCCAGGGTTAGAAGGTTTAAGCTGTAGGGAGAGGCTGAATAGGCTGGGGGCTGTTTTCCCTGGAGCATCGGAAGCTGAGGGGTGACCTTTTCGAGGTTTATAAAATCATGAGGAATGTCGATAGGGTGAATAGTCAAGGTGTTTTCCCCAAGGTAGGGGAGTCTAAAACTAGAGGGTACAGGTTTAAGGTGAGAGGGGAAAGATTTAAAAGGGATATGAGGGGCAACTTTTTCACGCAGAGGGTGGTGCATGTATGGAACGAGCTGCC